TAAATTTTCAAAGATCAACAGTCTGTCATTAGTCTGCCACTAAAAAATGGCGTGTTGTGGTTCCAGTACACCAGCCATGTCAACAAAACGAATGAATGCAAATTTGCTTATCAATGTATATCTAAATTTGCGGCTACATTTTTTTTAGAACTTCAAAACAAGAAACAGAAAAGATGTTGCAGCCAATGAGCCGCCAGCGGGGGCCGTCTCAACCTCCACGGACAGTTTTTAATATTTTATCAGACAATAACTACTCAAGATTTTTCAAGACTACAGCTTAGATTTCGGGACTGTCCCAAATTTTTCGGGACGTCTGGTCACCCTATGTGGCGGCGCACGCAATCTCCACTTGGACGAGATCTTCAATCTATCGCCATTGCATACTCTCTCTTTTCATTCCGGTGAAATCACAAAAATAAAATGCACACAAACTTAGAAATATTATTTACTTACTAGTCCATCAACAAGATCGTCAGATAAGCATCACTGTTGCATCCAGTGCTGCTTTTTAGCTCGCGGCAACGAGTGAAAAGCCCCATCTATGGAAAAGCCTTGTCGGGTTCCTCACGCGGTCAGATTATCTTTTCCTTTTCCTAGTCTCTTCCAACCACGTTTTCTTTGCTTTTTCCATCTTCGAGTATCACATCTGAAATGTGTGCAAGTGTCTTCATGCTTCATATGTTGTTGTTGATGTGCGTGACGTCGTTGCCGTAATTATGTCGTGATTCTCGCTAGATTTGTGGGGACGCTCCTCTTTTTTTTTCCAGCGCTGTTCCCCACAAGCTTTACTACCAGGATGATTCGCCCTACAATGAGTTTGTTTACCATCGAAATGACTTTGAAGCTGTTATATTAAGGTTCAATTCTTGCATAGTGTGCTTTTAACAATGTTTTTGTTTTTGTGGAACTCCAAAACACTATATTAATTATAATTATTCTTATTATCTATAATATATATCGAACAAGAGTCTTGGTTTAGTTTGCTTTAAAGGGTCCAATAACCATTCACACACAAACTAAAATTCACACAATCCCTAAACTGAGACAAGAAAGTGTAAAAGTCCCTGTGATAAAGTGTTTAAAAGTTCACAAAAGAGCATCAAGATAATGGCTCCGAGAGAACGCTGAGTGTTTTCTGAGCTGATGTTTAGTGTTTGCTCAGGGGTGGGTGGTTACGGATGATATGAGAAAGCGTGGGACAGACAGAGAGAAAAAGACACAGATCACACAGCTCTCGCTCGCTCCCTCTCCGCAAATACTCTCATCCCGGAGAAGGTGGGCAGCCGGATACATGCGGCTTATCCATCTCTCCCAGGGCATGCTGGGTAAAGCTCAACTCCTGCCGGCTGACACAGACCTAAGCCACACAGAGCTCCGGTCTCTCCGCGGAGGGCCACACACGTACTGGGAAGGGGATTTATTTACTCATATTTAGCTGTGTTTACCATTGATAAAATCATATGAGAAACTTAAGAGCGGCTTACGGCTGATGTTACCTGGGCTGAGCCCGGGAGGCTGATTTAGTTTCAGATCGGTGATTGATGTCACGTCCAGTATACTGGGACGAGGGGTGGATGTGTTGGCATGCTGACACTATGATGCATGGATGAGCTGATGAGCCTAGGACACTTGTCTAATGTGCTGGGTCTATTAACGTTTAGGAAAAAGAAAATCAAATATTTTGTCCTGTCCCAGATTAATATGCAGAGACAAGTCCAATTTTTTCTTTTAGATTTGGATTCATTTTTATGTTTAGCCAATAAGTATAAGTAGCCAAGTATTTTTTTAGCGTTTTCTCAACACAGTCTTATTATTATTGCTATTCAGTGTTATTATTGTTAATTAATACTATTAAAAACCACAATGTAAAAAATGAAATGATCAATAAGTTATGACAGCATATGTTTTTAACTCAACAAAATAAGTTAAGCATAAATATAATAGCAACAGTGTTGTTTAGTATTATTTCTATACTAACTCTAGAAAACGCATATTGCAGGTGGATTGTTAAGGTTTTAAGTTTTAGAATATGTATCAACAACTCAAATTAAAGTTAAAAAAATTGTAAAATCACTTCATATCCTTTTTGTGTAATTTAGTTGTGATGACAATTCTTTTAGTTTTTATCATGCATTTTATTTTTAATTCAGTTACAATTTTATTCAGTTTTTGTTAATGAAAGTTGGAAATGAAATAATGAAATAAAGTTGGAAACAGTGTGAGGCTTAACTGATGGTGTCAGTTTAGGGCATTAACGTTTGCATTTATTAGTTACTGCATTACAAATAAAAATAAATAAATAAATAAAAACTTCTGATTAGGTTTACTTTTCCCAGCCAAATAAACCATATCAATCACATCCTAACAAGTTAGTTCAGTACATCGGCACAGGAAATCAGATGTGATGACGCTAAGAGAAAATGAAAGGTGGTAAACTATAAATCTATGGAATGAATATTAAACCTACATTCCTCGGGTGTGGTTTATTAAAAGGAGAGTATTATAGGGAAAACATGAGTGGCAGCATCTTTAATAGGAGCTTTGTGTCAAACCATCTCAAAATCCTCTACTGCCCCCTAGTGGAAACCACAGCCATACATAAGCACTTAATGAATAGAGTGAGCTCAGTGTGGCAGACCCAGCGATATTGTCTTGCTGCGCTGTCACGGCACGACAGTGACAGGCTTCCTGTGCTTAGAAGAAACAAGGGGGAGACAGACAGCCTGGAAAAGGGAAACGAGAGGAAACACAATTTCCTTGCAGCTCCAAACTCAGAGCAGAAACATGAAGATGTCAATAAAATGCACACGCTATGAAACTGATAAAAGCAGAGACGTGTTCCGCCCCGCTGCCATCCCGCTTGACTCTGAGACCGAGAGGAGAGACTCATTTTCTAGCGGGAAGATGGTTTCAGTGACGTCTTTTCCAGGAACATCTCTAGTTCCCTAATTGGAGTCTACAGGCTTTTTGAGCTCATGCTTGCATTAGTCCGTCTCATCGGCAGTCTCTCCGCTAAGGTGACAGTTAAAGGGATAGTTCAATCAAACATTAAAGTTGGCCCATTATTTACTCACCCTTATCCTAGGTGTATATGACATTCTTCTTTCAGACGAACACAATTGAAACAATATATTATAAAAAAAAAAATGTCCTGGCTCTTCTGAGCTTTATAATAGCAGTGAATGGCCGTTTCTGTTTTGAAGTCCATACAAGTGCATCTATCCATCATAAAAGTGCATCTATCCATCATAAATGTGCATCTATCCATAATAAAAGTACATCTATTCATCATCAAAGTGCATCAATCCAAGATAAAAGTGCATCTATCCATTATAAAAGTAAATCTATTCATCATAAAAGTGCATATATTCATCATCAAAGTGCATCTATCCATGATAAAAGTGCCTCTATCATCATAGAAAGTGCATCTATCCACCATAAAAGTGTATCTATCGAAGATAAAAGTGTATCTATCCATCATAAAAGTGCATCTATCCATCATAAAAGTGCATCTATCCATCATCAAAGTCCATCTATCCATGATAAAAGTGCATCTATCCATCAAAGTCCATCTATCCATCATAAAAGTCCATCTATCCATGATAAAAGTGCATCTATCCATCATAAAAGTGCATCTATCCATGATAAAAGTGCATCTATCCATCATCAAAGTCCATCTATCCATGATAAGTGCCTCTATCCATCATAGAAAGTGCATCCATCCACCATAAAAGTGTATCTATCGAAGATAAAAGTGTATCTATCCATCATAAAAGTGCATCTATCCATCATAAAAGTGCATCTATCCATCATCAAAGTCCATCTATCCATGATAAAAGTGCATCTATCCATGATAAAAGTGCATCTATCCATCAAAGTCCATCTATCCATCATAAAAGTCCATCTATCCATGATAAAAGTGCATCTATCCATCATAAAAGTGCATCTATCCATGATAAAAGTGCATCTATCCATCATCAAAGTCCATCTATCCATGATAAGTGCCTCTATCCATCATAGAAAGTGCATCCATCCACCATAAAAGTACATTTATCCATTATAAAAGTGCATCTATCCATCATCAAAGTCCATCTATCCATGATAAGTGCCTCTATCCATCATAGAAACTGCATCTATCCACCATAAAAGTACATTTATCCATTATAAAAGAGCATCTATTCATCATCAAAGTGCATCTATCCACCATAAAAGTGCATCTATCCATGATAAAAGTGCCTCTATCCATCATCAAAGTCCATCTATCCATGACAAGTGCCTCTATCAATCATAGAAAGTGCATCTATCCACCATAAAAGTGCATTTATCCATTATAAAAGTGCATCTATTCGTCAAGTGCATATATCATCATAAAAGTGCATCTATCCATAATAAATGTGCATATATATCCATGATAAAAGTGCCTCTATCCATCATAAAAGTGCATATCGAAGATAAAAGTGCATCTATCCATGATAAAAGTGCTCCACACGGCTCTATGTGGTTAATAAAGGCCTTCTAAAGTAAAGTGATGCGTTTGTGTAAGAAAAATATTCATTTTTAAAACTTTATAAAGTAAAATTCTAGCTTCCGACCAAACGCAGTCTACTTGCATATAAAACACAACTTAGACAACTTGTGACGTCGGCAGTAGCGAGTGCGCCACGGCGTAGCGTAAATATCAGCAGTGCGTCGCATAACTCATAAGTTGCGCTTTGACTTAAGTCGAATCCGTATGTTCGTTTGGGCCGGAAGCTAGTTATTTTACTTCATAAAGTTTATAAAGAACCTATTCAAGCCTAAAAAAAAAAAAAAAAAAAAAAAAAAAAAAAAATCGAGCATTCCAGATGGTCAAAGACTGCAGCGGATCTGTCTTAATCTGCAGAAAGCCATTCTAGGGCTTTCTGCCTCAGAGAGTCGACAGGGGCAAACGCTAATTGGGAGGAGGGGCAGAATGAGGCAGAAGAAAAAGACATCAATGAAGTAACAAGGTAACGGTGTACCTGACAATGGGGATGGGGGTTTGAACAGCCCATCGCGTCTCCTTTATTCTCAAAGATCTGAAACACAAGAGAAAGAGACATTACGTCCTGACAAAGAACCCAGACATAACAAGCCACAGCAAACATTATACAAACGTACAGACACAACCCAAAACATTCTGCAGTCAGACAGGTGCAGATAAAACATGCACTCTCTTATTAAGACATGAAGAGATCAGAGCACATGTTGCCGTTTGAAAGGAAACATCCTGCCGGAGGGAGTTTTAAGACTTCCTGACACCTCCCTCCCTAAGGGTGATGTAAAAGGATTTGGGCAGGATCTGTCCTTGACAACTCCACTTGATAAATATTGACTCAGGTAAAAAGTCACCGCTCTTCAGGGTCTGCAAATTGCAAAGATGAGGCGAAACGCGCACTCTGATGTGTTTAACAGAGAGGAGATAACCACCGGTGTTATCCGGAGGAGTCGTGACCGATACTCTCCAGTGGGAAAAGTGTAGCAACGTCCCAGTAGATGCTTCTCCGATTGGACTGAACTTTGCTGTACCCTAAATTAATGATAATTATTCATTTCAACCTGGATTTTTTTTTTTTTTCCTTTAATATGTTCCTTGAGGTACACTCATAATGTTAATAAAGTTTTATGCACACAAAAACTATATATATATATATATATATATATATATATTATAAGTACAGATGCATAAAACAGTGGTAAGCTGTGACTTTTTTTTATAAATCTAAATGTCTAAAGTGCTATTGTTTTTCCCAATATGGGACATATTTCGGGACAATGGATAAAAAGGATATGCATGTTAATGTTGAAAAAAAAAAATCAACTTGTAAGATGTAGAAGAGAATGATATGGCACATACTGTACAAAAATTAAGGACAAAATCTTTATATGAAGGTTAGCCAATCACAACAGAGGCCATTAATCTATAGAAGAAGCAAAAAGGCTGTAAAAGAGTCTAAATTATGGCTATTTTAATGCAAGAAACATAAGTAACATTATAAGTGGGCTACTGGGCTTTGGAGAAAAACATTAAATTATAAAGTGTGTTGGGTTCTGTACCATTAAGCCGAATTCCTTAGTTAAACTGGATCTACAGTCTGTCAAAAAGCAATTGAGGCTCATGAACTCTCTCACTCTCATAAGTTAACTATCTTTTGGCACAAACATCTTAATTTGCTGCATTCATATCCCTGGAAGCCTTTGAAGTGCTCCATTATTCCCTAGCAGGAGCATTAATGTGTCCAGAGAGGCCAGAGGATCGCTCCACACTGCCTGCCATTGATCAGTGCTGAGACGCCCTGACTGAAGAGCATCTCCCAATTGATCCAATTAGCACTGATGAGGAAGACTGGGACGAAACCCAATCGAGCGGCGTCCCGGTCTCTGACTCCTTTTAAACACACACACACACTCTTATGCAATCGTGTCCCTGTGACTCCATCACTTCTACAGGGAAAGTTTCTTCTGGCGACAATTGGTGCAAATGTTTCATTAAGTTGCTACACCCCCCAAGAGAGAGTCTCAGTGAGAATAAAATCATGTCTCGTTTTATTTATTCATTTTTTTTTTAATGAGTCGTGTCTTACGGCTGCATTTTATTGCAAAATGAATTTCAGTGTTTTGCTTGTGAATGCAAAGTAACAGGTGCACCAGAAATAGAAGAGACAGGACATGATGTACTGACCTGCACCCATGTGTGCGCATCACCCAGCTCTCCGATCAGATCTGCCCACCTGTCAATCACTCTGCGGATCTCTGCAGGCTTCATGAGCGGGAGGGTGACGTCAGACCAGGGGTGGAAACACATAACCTTACTGACAAACAAACAGGAAAACAACACATTTGGTTAAAATCTATCTCTCTGTCAGTCTGTCTGACCATATATCTGTTGGTCTATCTATCCATCGTCTGTCTAGCTGTCTATCTATCTATCTATCTATCTATCTATCTATCTATCTATCTATCTATCTATATCTATCTACAGTGTTTGTCTGTCTGACTGACTGACTGTCTATCTGCCTGTCTTTCTGTCTATCTATTTATCTGTCTGTCTGTCGATCATGTCTGTCTGTCTGTCTGTCTGTCTATCTATCATGTCTGTCTGTCGATCATGTCTTGTCTGTCTGTCTGTCTGTCTGCCTGTCTGTCTGTCTGTCTGTCTGTCTATTTGTCTGTCTGCCTGTCTGTCATGTCTGTCATGTCTATCTATATTTCTGCCTGTCTTTCTGTCTATCTATTTGTCTGTCATGTCTGTCTGACTGACTCTCTATCTATCTGTCTTTCTGTCTATTCGTCTGTCTGTCTATCGATCATGTCTGTCTGTCTGTCTATCGATCTATCATGTCTGTCTGTCTGTCTGTCTATTTGTCTGTCTGTATGTCTATCTATCCATCCATCATGTATGTCTGTCTGTCTGTCTATCTATCTATCTATCATGTATGTCTGTCTGTCTGTCTATCAATCTATCATGTCTGTCTGTCTGTCTGTCTATCTATTTGTCTGTCTGTCTGTCTGTTGATCATGTCTGTCTTGTCTGTCTGTCTTGTCTGTCATGTCTGTCATGTCTATCTATATTTCTGCCTGTCTTTCTGTCTATCTATTTGTCTGTCATGTCTGTCTGACTGACTCTCTATCTATCTGTCTTTCTGTCTATTTGTCTGTCTGTCTGTCTGTCTGTCTGTCTATCGATCATGTCTGTCTGTCTGTCTGTCTGTCTGTCTATTTGTCTGTCTGTATGTCTATCTATCTATCTATCATGTATGTCTGTCTGTCTGTCTGTCTGTCTATCTATCTATCTATCATGTATGTCTGTCTGTCTGTCTATCAATCTATCATGTCTGTCTGTCTGTCTGTCTTTCTGTCTATCTATTTGTCTGTCTGTCTGTTGATCATGTCTGTATGTCTGTCTGTCTGTCTGTCTTGTCTGTCATGTCTGTCATGTCTATCTATATTTCTGCCTGTCTTTCTGTCTATATATTTGTCTGTCTGTCTGTCTGTTTGACTGACTGACTATCTATTTACAGTTTTTTTTGTTCGCTTTGGTACTATTTTCACAAGTAAGGTGTACATTTTCAAAACTCTTAGTACAAAAATCCAAACTGATCACACTTGTAACGCAGCTAGTCATTCTTTCAAAACCTGATGCTTTCAGTCCGTTGCACATGTTTTCAGTCCACATAATCATTATTTCAAACACAAGATTATTGTAATATGTAATGAGAACATTTGGTTTAATCACTGAAACACAACAATATGATCTTCTTTCATTTTAGTACTTTTAACAATCAGTTCATCCAACAGCAAACAATGCAAGATACATGTTTCAAATCGGCCTCAGAAGTGCTGAAATGAAAATGCTATAGTACTATAAAAGACAGATTACAGTTTTACTGTAACATTAGGCAATGCACTTACAGTACCCAACATTTACATAATCTATAATTTCCAAATATCCATCATATATGTAATCAAGTGAAGGATCAATGAAGACATCCTCTACAATCATTTACAGTATATAGTGGCCAATTTTGGTTACCACTATGTGAAATCAATTAGCTATAACGAGTATTCATCATGTTTGGTTACATGTAATTTAAATATTCATACAAACACACATTTTATTTCTGTAGTTCTCAAAATCCATATACTGTATATTGCTGAAATGAAAATCTATAGGTTTACCAAATGATTAATTGAATAACCATTAAGATCTGTTGGATTAAATAATAGACAAAAGTATTAAACTGAACAAAAGGAGATGCAAATCAAAAGTTTGATAGTAAGAGCTTTATGAAAGGCAGTTACTGTGGATGAAACAATAATGTAGATGAAACACTTATTTTGTGTTGTGAAAAGGATACTTTGTGATTGTGTGAATTGTACTAACACAGTTGAAAACATGATGAAATGTTTGAAAAAAGTGCACTTTTGATGATCTATTGTGATATTAGCACTAAGAGTTTTGAAAATGTACACCTTACTTGTGAAAATAGTACCAAAGCGAATAAAAAAAAAACTGTAATTGCCTGTCTTTCTGTCTATTTGTCTGCCTGTCTGTCTGTCTATCGATCATGTCTGTCTGTCTGTCTGTCTGTCTATCGATCTATCATGCCTGTCTGTCTGTCTGTCTATCGATCATGTCTGTCTGTCTGTCTGTCTGTCTATCTATCTATCTGTAATGTCTGTCTGTCTGTCTGTCTATCGATCTATCATGTCTGTCTGTCTATCTATTTGTCTGCCTGTCTGTCTGTCTTTCTGTCTATCTATTTGCATGTCTGTCTGTCTGTATGTCTGTCTATCTATTTGTCTTCCTACCTGTCTATCTATCTATCAATCTACGTCAATCTGACTTTTACATATCTATCTACCTATCATCTGTTGAATATCTATCCATCTATCTAGTCTTACTATCTGTCTCACTATTTGTCTCTGTCTTATCTATCTATCTATCTGTCCATCATCAGTACCTGTAAGTCTATCTATCCGATCCATCCTTCCAGCTTTCCTTCTGTGATCTAAGCAGCATTTATCATAAAACATACACTGTACATGTTACACTTCACCTTCAACAATCACCCGGCAGAGTTATGAATAAATTCATATCGTACTTCTCTCTATGCTCAGCCCTGAATGAATCCCAGCAGCTGTGCCTGCAATCTTTCCAAAGTATCCTCTTTCAGGCTTTATGTGGGGCAGCCAGTTCTCTCTATTAAGCGTCCTTAACTTGTTTGTGCCTCGAGCGCTATTCTTACTACTTTGAAAACAATGTCAGATCCCAGAGCATTAGAGTTGAGCGTCGGTTGGCAGGGCGTGTGTGTTCATGGCCTCTTCTGCTACGCCACTAATTGGATGGTTGCACACACAGGTACCGTTTCAGAACAGCCGTCTGTGAAGTTATCTTCTGCCCTCAAATATACTGCATAAAACGGACCAGCGTGGAATCGATAAAACGGAAAGCACTAGGGATCATGAAATCAGGGTCCAAAACGATTCAATGGTGTCTCTCATAAGACATGTCCGAGTGACAATCACTGTGTGCACATATAAAATGCCTGAGTGACTTTTTACAAACAGACTTATCTAGCAAATCCACTTCTTTGATGACAGCATCACCTAGTGTTAATATGTGGTATCACCTAGTGGTATATGTGAGAATTGTCATATAATAATCACATTTTTGTTCATTGTGAAGATTAGACCCATTAGACACATCTGTCTGTAATTATCAAGAAGATCTGAAGATCTAAATTAGCTGCTTCAGTCCACACTAATACGGTTTCCTATGAAAACACATCTTTTTTTCTCCGTTTTGGCCTTCCGTCCACACCAAGATGGTGAAAAATTAGCTTTTTGAAAACGCTTTCCCAAGTGGATCAATTTGAAAATGCAGTTTGAAAAGAATGACGAATGTTTAGTCATGTGAACTGATATGCATACATAATTCTATTGTGTCTGTTATGTGGTATTCACTGTCACTAAAATATGTTACTCTGCACTCTCTTCATATCACAGTCTGTCCTGTGGCATAACATGAGAACAGTGCCATTTTAGACCAAATATACAATGGTGAGATAGCTTGCTAAATAAAATAGTCCTACCAGAAGAATTGCGTGATAACTTTATTATGTCTGTTCCGTCTATATGGGTTTACGCATGCGCTGTAAGGTGAATTTAGCACTTTCTGACGTTTTAGTGTTGATTGGAGACGTTAGGAAATGCTAATGCTAATACAATGTTTAGGACAATGGCGAAATAACTATTCTTTACTGTAATGTCATGCAAAGAAAAGAGATTAATTTGAAATATAGTCTCACATAGCCAGATCTATATAGTCTATAGTCTTAAATATAATTAATCAAACTACCATAACAGTGTGATCTCATCTGTCGACATGAAGCCGGTGAATCGCAAAACTAGTGCAAACATATCCACATCGCTACGATCAGATGCTTTAACTGCTGTCTTCACACCACTGTCATTATTGCTGTGTGTTTATTTTGCTATTGAGGAAAGTGAGCAGCACATATTTGCATATTCACCTATGCAATGGATGGCGTCGGGATGTTAGTTAACAATATATAATATCACTCCAAAGGTATTTTCGACTGCTTTTTACTTAAAAGAACGAAGAAAAACTTTGCTGTGAGTATATCGGGGCTTTGAATCACGTTCAGCATAGTGTGCATTACGTGTCCGAGCACAAACAAGAAGTTGCTGGCTGCAGTTCACTTATTGGCCACCGGTGTCGCTAACAATTCTGAATTCTACATATGGTCCCTTTAAGTGTACAAAAAATGTTTCCGTTACAGATCTTTAATAACTCAATCATACATAAATCATTTTAAAGATAAACCAAAAGCACAAAACCAAAGTGAGAATGTGAACAATGGTGATTTTATAAATAATCCACATAGTACACGAACACAGCAAGATGCATTGAGTTAGCGCTCTCCTGAGGTCTCCCAATTCTGGTAGCACAATCAATTTCTACACACAGCACGATTAAACACAGGGAAATAGTTTATTAGCACTGCTTTGCATGGGCCACGAGGCACAATAACTGAGATTATGTACTGTGCTAACAAAGGATCCCTCAGTGTCGCTGCGATCTAAGGCAATTTGTGCTAATGTGCTCTGAAAAAAAAAACTAATACACAGTAACAGCAAACAAACTTTCGTTTGTTTGTTTTTTGTTTTGTCTTATGCTGTAGACCCCCAAATTTGATGATCCCCTACTATATTGTAATATATAATTTAACATTATATATATATATATATATATATATATATATATATATATATATATATATATATATATATATATAATGCTATTTATATATATAAATGTTTATATGTCTGTGAGTGTCAACTGAATTAAAAAAAAAAAAATTCTCATGATTTCCAAACAGTTTTTTGAAAGGGAAAATAAGCATTTACTTTTTTACTTAATTAACTTTTTATTTATAAATGTACTTATTTTATTTTAATCATAATAAATTAAATTATTTATTTGCTTATTTAACATTTTACTCATAAATACAGGTATATTATTTCATTATTTAATTGTCCTCCTCACTACATTTCCCAGCATCCTCCTTGACCCACACCTGCACACCATCACCCATTACCCGAATACTAATCGCCATCACCTGTCACCACCACCTGCCTGCACTCAGCGCAGCTAATCACCAGCACCATACATGATGCGTCCCAATACTACGCCCTAAAAGTGTGTACTCTTTTTGTGAGGAAAAAGTACATACTTTGAGTGTGTAGCTAATGAGTTGGCAGGCAAATTGCAAACCAATTTGAATATAATGATTTAAAAGGTAATGGCTAAACATCTCTTTACAAAAGTTCACACTGCTGCTGCAGATGCAATAAAATGTGGACAACATTGAATAAATTCATTTTTGTCAGGTTAGATACTGATAATTAATCACTCAAACCTCTCTACATAACTGCTGGACTCGCACGTCCTCCATGACTGAAGCTTTTTTAACACCTTTTCACTTGTGTTTGTAGTTCTAACCGAATCCTCGTCCAACGGGTGATGGGATGTGAGCAATATCAGCCATTAGAGTGTGCAACGATCTGCATTTCGGATTCAGACCGGGAATAGTAGCCCATCCGGGTCTCTATGGAACACTCATTTCAACACACTACAATTTGGGACGTACTAATTCTATTTTCGAATACTATTTAGGACGGATGTGAATTGGGATGCAGCAAGTCACCTAATCCACAGCACTGCTTTGTCTAAAATAACTTTATTTTACAGTTCTGTTTCACATCAACATTGCAATAACTGGGTAATATTACTCATGGCATGTTAATCCTATTGTAAGAGACTCTGAAAAAAATAAGGAACCTTTCAAAATAGCATAATGGGGCACTTAAAGGTTTTTGTTTTTGTTGTTGTAAATAGTGATGTTTAACTTAACCAACAATACTAATTAGTAAGTTTAGTTCTTAAGGAGAAGAAATAAACTGTTCTCACCAAATGCCTCTGGCTGCTTTGCTTTGGAAAAGTGGGTGATGATCTGAACCTAGAACCAGTAATACAAGTGAACGGCAAATTGTTAATATGCTGGAATGATCTCCATCATTAACGTACAGCCTATTATTGCACACTAAAAGTTTTACAATTAAAATTTTTAGGAGCAGGAACATTAACCGCTTTTATTATAACGGCTGAAAGTACTGTAGCTTTACCATAATACTGTATCAGATCATAAAAACAATGGCACTTTGATATACACTGCTGTTCAGAATGTTGGGAATTGCATTTCATTATTATTATGAAACCTTCTACTCAACAAGGCTGCATTTTTATTTGATAAAATACAGTAGAAAAACAGAAATATTGTGAAATATTATTAAAATTTAAAATAGCTGTTTTCTATGTGAATATTTAGTAAAATGTACTTTATTCCTCCAGTAGTCTAAGCTGAATTTTCAGCATCATTACTCCAGTCTTCAGTGTCACATGATCCTTCAGAAATCATTCTAATATAATGATTTGATGCTCAAGAAACATTTCTGGTTATTATCAACGTTAAAAACAGTTGTGTAGCTTCACTTTTTTGTGTAAACCATTAACAAGTTCAAAAGAAAAATATTTTTGATATTATAATGTTATTTAATATTATAAATGCATTTAATGCCACTTTTAATAGCTGAATAAATGTATTCATTTAATTAAAAAGAATCTTACAGTCTTCAAACTTTTAAATGGTAAAGTAAACATGGTACTAAATTATTACCACAATTACAACTATCCAGGTTTTCCATTACCATGCAACAGGTCCAAAAAAAGTATGCTACATTTATGTTAGTAGATCCAAATAATATCCAGTAATAAACTAGTACATAAACAGCAGAAAGTCTTATGGCAGTGAATGCGACAGAGGATCATACCGGGGTCTGGAGCATCAGGCTGGAGAGCAGGGAAATCATTTTCAAACATGAACGTGCCGTCATAGTCAGGATTCACCTGAAAAAAAACCGAGGAAAATATCACATGACTGGTGTATCCTGTGTTTAATCAAAGACTGGTGGATAAAACATCTTCCTCAGGTCGACATATTTGAGTAGACAAGCTGCTTCCAGCCAAATGCATCTCTGAATGAAGCAATAACATTAAATAGTGCCAAAGAGTTCAAGAGTGCATGTTCAACATCTTTTCCGATTGTAAAGTAGCCTGGCAAAGTTCTTTATTTTAATTAATCATTAAAGAATAATATCCAGGAATGATAGAATCAGCCAAGAACATTTGTCAAGCTTAAGAGAGCACTAAAAAAACAGTGCCACTGAATATTCATTGGCATATAACTCAAACAAGCCGACGGAGAGAAGGCAGAAACGTACTCAAGGAAAGGATATCAATGTTTTTTTTTTTTCTGCTTAGTCAGAGAACGCTGTATAATGACTGCAGACACATCACTTTCCACAGACAAGACGGTTTTATCTGTGTTCGTAAAAAAGCACCCATAATGCTCCAGGCTGAGCCAGAGGTATCAAGAACAATGGAAATTCTGTGATTAATTTATCACACCTCGTGTCGTTCCAAACCCGCAAGACTTTAATTCATCTTTTTTGATGAATCTGAGAGCTTTCTGTCCCTCCATTGACAACGACTACTTTGATGCTTCAATGAGTTCATAGAATAATATCAAAGATCGTAAAAATATTCCATATAGAGACTCGATTGCTTTTACATGATGAAGATATTTAATTAAGTCTTTTATTGGGATTGCTCGAAGGTGCAGCAACACGATAATGAAACTTATTGGTTCTTCTTACACAAACTCAAATGTGGTGAGTGACACCAGAATTAACCTCATTGGTTCTTGCAGAAGCTCAAACGTGCTGTGTAACAAGAATGGACCTCATTGATTCTTGTGGAAGCACGAAAGTGCTGTGTAACACAAGAATGAACTTCATTGGTTCTTGCTGAAACTCAAACGTGAAGCATAACACAAGAATGAACCTCATTGGTTCTTTGTTAAAGCTCAAACGTGCTGTGTAACACAAGAATGAATATCATTGGTTCTTGCAGAAGCTCAAACGTGCTGTGTAACAAGAATGGACCTCATTGATTCTTGTGGAAGCACGAAAGTGCTGTGTAACACAAGAATGAACTTCATTGGTTCTTGCTGAAACTCAAATGTGAAGCATAACACAAGAATGAACCTCATTGGTTCTTTGTTAAAGCTCAAACGTGCTGTGTAACACAAGAATGAATATCATTGGTTCTTGCAGAAGCTCAAATGTGCTGTGTAACAAGAATGAACCTCATTGGTTCTTGCTGAAGCTCAAACGTGAAGCATAACACAAGAATGAATATCATTGGTTCTTGCAGAAGCTCAAATGTGCTGTGTAACAAGAATGAACCTCATTGGTTCTTGCTGAAGCTCAAACGTGAAGCATAACACAAGAATGAACCTCATTGGTTCTTTGTTAAAGCTCAAACGTGCTGTGTAACACAAGAATGAACCTCATTGGTTCTTGCAGAAGCTCAAACGTGAAGCATAACACAAGAATGAATATCATTGGTTCTTGCAGAAGCTCAAATGTGCTGTGTAACAAGAATGAACCTCATTGGTTCTTGCTGAAGCTCAAACGTGAAGCATAACACAAGAATGAACCTCATTGGTTCTTTGTTAAAGCTCAAACGTGCTGTGTAACACAAGAATGAACCTCATTGGTTCTTGCAGAAGCTCAAACGCGCTGCATAACACAAGAATGAACCTCAATGGTACTTTGTTAAAGCTCAAACACGCTGCACGCACTGCAGCAAGCTCATTGGATTTTGCTGAAGCTCAAATGTGAAGCGTAGCACAAGAATGAACCTCACTGGTTCTTGCTGAAGCTCAAACATGCTACATAACACGAGAATGAACCTCATTGGTTCTTTGTTAAAGCTCAAAACTGCAGCGTTACACCAGAATCAACCTCATTGGATCTCGCTGAAGCTCAAACGTGAAGCGTAGCACATATATTCCAAGAACACAGGATGAGATGTTCCTATCCTTTGAGCAAGCACTCCCAAGAATGTTCCTATCCTTTGTGCAAGCACTTTATTCATTTAGCGGAAGTTTTTATCCAAAGCGACTTACAAATGAGAACAATAGAAGCAGTGAAACTAACAGTAGGACAACAATATTCAAGTGCTATGACCCCTCTCAGTTTCAACTAACGCAGTCCATGATTTTTTTTTTTTTTTTTTTTTTTTTTATATAGAATAGAAAAGAAAGTGTTAGTGTTACACGACAATGAGTTGCTCACCTCTCCATTAGCTCTCACACTGCCAGGACAGAGAGGGTTGTTGGGGTCATGTCGTGGGATGGTGTCCACTGGCGGTTTCTCCACCTGTCCTTTCCATGGACGCTTCATCCGATGGGCCGAGACCAGAACCCATGAGTCCCGCAGAGGATTGTACCTTAAATGCTGGTGCTCTGAAACAAACATCAAGATTCAAAAATAATCTGAGTTAAGGTCAACTCACCAAGAGTACATTTATACCTCACATAACTTATTGTTATAAGTATAGAAATATTATTCTCATGTATTGACTTTGCTTACTTGAGCATTATTTATGGATGTTTTGTGTTTGATTTAATTTTAAAATGTAACAGGCAAGACTTTGCCACTTAATGCCACTTAATAACACCTTGACAGTGATAGAAAAGCATAAACATCATAAATTTCACAGCAATCTATACAATATAGTATAAAACACTGCGACAAAGAATTTAAATGTGAGATTCTAAAATGCAAAATGACTCCGTGCACACTTGAGTGATGCACAATAGGTGAATCAGTTTTAGACCGGTTCATTGAAAAACTGTCCGAGTGAATCGATTCTATAAAATGATTCATACATCCCACCGCTAACTTTTTTTGGCTGCGTTGAAACCGCATACTTCCCTACTATATAGTAAGGGAAAAGCAGTAGGTGAGCAAAAATATGTACAAATCCTTGGTATTCATAAAAGAGGGCTTTGAATGAGTATACTACAACTGAATAACAAAATCTATTTAAATCTTAAGTTGTAGTTTATTTTAATTATTGCAAATTCAAACAGAGTTATTACAGCACGTCTGATTTGGATCTGAAATGTCTGCAGGCTGGTGTGAGCACTGAGGATGGTGAGGCTGGTGCTGAATCAGAAATGAGTTCTTGAACATTAGTTATATGTATGTGCCAATGTTTTGCTGTGGAATTCAGTGAGTGTTACAGGGAAAAGTTTCACCCTGTGACAATGGTTCGTCCCACTAGAGTTTGGCGGGAAAAATGTGTATTTAAACCATTGTATGGTCAGGTTTGGGAGGGATGTTGCATCCTGTGTATACTGTGCAAACGATTGAACATGTTTGAAGTGAGACATGCTGATAATTTTATGGATGTGCCACTAGGCATTGTTTTATTGCCTATTAACTCACCTTGTGTTAAGGCTAAGTACAAGTAGACTAAGTAGGCTTGTGTTACTGCACCTGTCGCTCAATGCTAGATAGCACAAGTCTATTCGATGTAATGTTTACATCTGGAAGACGTATTTTTAAGAGTGTTCAAAAATTGCTCATCTGCAATACATCTATAGGATGTTTCCTGTCCGATGTCAAAACGACGTTTAGAAGATGTCTTTAAGATGTAATGATTTAGAATGCATGTTAAACCGACATCTTCTAAACGTCTATTTGACATCTGACAGGAAACGTCCTATAGATGTATTGCAGAAGAGCAAACACTCTTAAATGAGTCTTCCAGATGTAAACATTGCATCAAATAGACTTGTGCTATCTAGGATATAATTGTTTTATTGTAGAACTTTTATATAAAAGATCAGGGAAAGATACAATGGTTGTATCTTTAACAATAAACAATCACAATGACAGAAAACATAAATATGGGTTTGCATTCATCATAATTTCGTTATTCATAAGCCGGATTAAATTCAACAGAGAGGAAACATAAAGGACAGGGGGCTTGAGGGTGAACATTTCGGATATAAAATAAAGAAATTAACAACATATTCAAGAGATGACGATTTGGGGGTTTTGTAATAAATTATATCTTTAAGGGTGAAACTGTGGGTCACATTAGAAGGGTTAAAATAAGAATTTAAATCGACCTTAAATGTATTGGTTAAACTACAATCACAAAATAAATAGGCTGTTTCTTAAACAAAACCACAAAATAAGTAAGTTTCATCAATATCAAGATATTCATGAAGATTAATTAAACCTGACGCTAACTCACATGAGCAACAACTTTATATTTATATAAAGTTGTTGCTCATGTGATGACGCGTCGTTGGTCACATGATAAATTCAACATGGCCGTCCGCTTCGCATATCGGTGCGTTCCATTCGACCGTAAGTGGACTGCGAAGTTGACTTCACATGGTATTTCGACATAAGTGAGATTCAAATTCGAAGGGAACGAACATGTTCAGTTCAAAGGGCACTGCAAACGGCATAGGAAATAAGGAGACATCGATACATCACTTCACAGGAAGTCAGTGAAGTGAAGTCCACTTTAACTGATATACCGTGTTCAGGGAGTAGGGAGCAGTGAACACTGCGTAGGGACCCATAGACAGTAAAATAAATCATACTCAACGAGATCAGGCTATAAAGTACTACTCTGTCAGCGCTCGTTCAGTTAGTACTTATTGAAATGAAGTACCTCATTGAGTGTGCGGTTTCTAACGCAGCAGATTTGTTCATGCAAAAAACACACGATCAGCTGCACAGCCAGTCATCACGTGACTCGTCTAGCAAGAGCATTTCAGTGAATCCAAAACACAGAAGTATGAAACAAAAGCAAAAAATGTTCATTGCATCGCATTAAATCTAAAATTTGTTTGTGAATAATGCAAATGTCATAAAATAAATATGCTTATATGACAATATATAAAAACATTCCTTACCTTTAGGGTCAAACTTGGGTTTACTAGTGTCCATCTTACTGTTACTCTGGTAACGTATAAGTAAATAAAATTATCCTGTGGATACGTCTATCCGATCAACCGTGAAGGGGTTTTAAACATGAATTCAATGATTGTTACTAGCTAGGGTTTCAAGTTTTTATTTGATTATCCTCAGTATCCTGAAGTGAACAAGGCTGCGCTCACACAACGCAGTATGTCGCTTTTAAAGATTTATAATTAGAACAGTGTTTTCCTCGTTTAAATGTTTCTGGAGAACGTAAATGACACACAATACATAACTACGTTGATTTATTCGACATGTTTCACAGTATCATTAAAGGGAACTTGTGTATTTTGCGTATTTTGGTCGCTTGTTGATAATAATAATACACCCTCGCGACGCCTTCTTCCTTGTTGATCCCTGTGCGATTTCATTGGATTAGAACTGGCGGTTTGTGGCAGCTGATTGGTTGTCACAGATGTTACGTCACCTCACGTCATCGTCCGTCACCTTTCATGTGAGCCATGCTGTGTGTCTGAATGAAGTCTGTTTAATGTCTTTTGTAAGCTCAGACAGCTTTTTACTTTTGAACACTCATTTGTGGTCGTGCTACGATGTCTTTAATACGAAATATTCTAAAGATGGTGGTGGTTCTTGGTGTTCTGGTGTTGACTGTGCAGTTTATAAGATACTGGATGGCAAGTAAACAATATGTCTTTACTAAAGAAGATGTTGCCAAGTTAGCCAAACAGTATGCAGGTGAGTAAACACGAGTAACCCGTTTCTGAAGTTGCATCTGCTGCTAAGATACTGCAATAAGTGTTCTCTGTAGCAATTGTAATATGTCGAATGATGTAATATATAGGCTACTACAGCTATATATAGCCTGTATACAACTTTGAAGCCTTGTGTTGCACGGACTATATCTGACGTGTGTCCAAGTGCAGTATTTCCTTTTAAAATAATTTGATAACTTAATGACATGTATCACTTTATTCTGTAAAACCTATTTAGTTTGACTTATTTTTAGCACGTTTAAATTATACATATATACTAATATATACAATACTTTGAAGCCCTGTGTTTCACAGACATACTATACTAAAGTAACACACAAAGTTGTTTTCAGCTGTTTTTAATATGATTTTCCCATTGGTAAGCAAAGTTAAATAACATGATGGACTGACCTTTTAAGACTGATATTACAACAGTTTCAATTTCTTTTTTATAATGGCAATTTGTGTATTATCTTCCTGACACTTCCTTTAAAGTCGGCATGAAACGGAAGTTGCGTTACCTAGTGAAACGGCTTCTCATACAAGAACAAATGTAGGACGGGACTTGATTTTGTCCATGGGGAAAATGATTAGATGGTTGTGGTCTGCTATCGGTGGATCTCATGTGAGTGATGGGCTTCTCCGTCCTCTAGCCAGTTAACGCATCATCAGTGTAGAGAAGAGATGCTGCAAGAGTGAATGGGAAGTTAGTTTGATTAAAGATTACAAAGTACATGAATGTAACAAAAAATGGTACGTTTTGATTTCATGGTGACTTGCTTTATAGATCTTTAAAAAAAAAGCTTTAAGAAAAAAAGCTGTCTAAAGTGCCTGTGTTTGTATGCCATAGGCCAGGATCATGACCAAGCCTTCTCTAAGGTGGTGGTGGAGCTCCGTAAGAGGTATCCAGGCCACATCTTGCCTGACGAGGACCTGCAGTGGGTGTTTGTGAATGCCGGTGGGTGGATGGGCTCCATGTGTCTGCTGCACGCCTCTCTCACAGAGTATGTGCTGCTCTTCGGGACAGCAGTGGACACGGGTGGACATTCAGGTAAGTTCAGATCATCTCCACTGTTGGGGTAACGAATTGAAAGTAGTGAGAGTTATGTAATTGGATTACTTTGAACAAGTAACTAGTAAATAACGCATTACTTTTAAAGTATGAGTAGTTCACTTTTTAAAAAAACTTTTGCTGATAATTTACTCACCCCCATGTCATCCAAGATGTCCACGTCTTTCTTTCTTTAGTCGAAAAGATATGGAGGTTTTTGATGAAAACGTTCCAGGATTTTCTCCATATAATGGACTTCATTGGGAACCAAACGGTTCAAGGTCCAAATGACAGTTTCCTTGCAGCTTCAAGGGGCTTTAAACGACACCAGACGATGAATAAGGGTCTTATCTAGCAAAACGATCGGTCGTTTAAAAAATAAATTAAAAAAGTTTAATTTATCAACCGATCGTTTCTCTTGATAAGACCCTTATTCATCACCTTTGTATCTCCTTCAGGTCGTTACTGGGCAGAAATATCAGACACGATCATATCTGGAATGTTCAGGCAATGGAAAGAAGGAACTACTAAAAGCGAGACTTACTATCCAGGTATAACATACGTCCTCAGCACATGCTCTGCGCTAACAGTGATTTACCCATAAAGCTTCATGTGGTTTGTTCTGGCAGGTGACACTATAGTGCATGCGGTGGGAGAGGCGACCTCGGTTCAGTGGAGCGCTGGGACGTGGATGGTGGAGTACGGGCGCGGGTTTATTCCCTCCACGCTGGGATTCGCTTTGGCCGACACCGTCTTCAGCACACAGGACTTTCTGACACTATTTTATACAGTTCGTGTTTACGTGAAGGGTATGATCCTGGAGGCGAGCACTTTCCTAACCGAGGCCAGCGTCCTTTGAAAATCACACCGCGCTGTACAGTACGTCCCGTCCCTTCGTTATTCGGATAATCGATCACAGCGTCAGGTCAGAACCGACGACGTGTTGAATTGGATGTATGGAAAGAAAGCACTTAATGTAATTATTTTCCAACTATGAAAGTTTTTATTTTCCATACTGTATAGAGTTTATCAAATGTATTTTCCAAAACATATTGGAAAAAATGTGTGTATGTGTGTGGGGTCCAGTGTCTGTGTTTGAACATGGCAAGATGTTTTAGCAGCTAAATACTGTCCAGAAACGATTATAATAATGAGGTATGGATGCAAATTTAAATAATAGTTTTCTGTATTTCGAAATCACCCTCTGTGCACCTTTAATATACTGTGAATATTGATCGCTGCTTTGTTTTTCATAAGATACATTTACAGTTTAAAACCGATGTTCAGCCTGCGGTCCCTCCAGAATAAAACCATCAACAGTGTTGAATAAGTCTATTTATTTTATTCATTTATTCCCTTTATTTTGTGTTCGCTTTTGTATGTCAAAGAGGGAATGTGATATTACAAAACGAAATAATTGACATCCATATATTTTACTAAAACCATGGAAGCTTGTTTCCGCCATAGAATGAAAAATTTAAAAGGTAATTGCGTTTTTTTTTTTTTTAATCTCACAATTCTGACTTTTTTTCTCACAATTGCGAGTTTACTTCTCGCATTTTTGACATTATTTCTCAGAATTGCGAGATGGAAAGTCAGAATTGTGAGATATAAAGTCAGAATTGCATGATATAAAGTCGCAATTGTGAGATATAAAGTCAGAATTGTGTGATATAAAGTCGCAATTGCGAGATATAAAGTCAGAATTGCGTGATATAAAGTCGCAATTGCGAGATATAACGTCAGAATTGCGAGATATAAAATCAGAATTGTGTGATATAAAGTCAGAATTGCGAGATATAAAGTCAGAATTGCGTGATATAAAATCAGAATTGCGTGATATAAAGTCGCAATTGCGAGATATAAAGTCCCAATTGCGAGATATAAAGTCAGAATTGAGAGATTTAAACTATTCTGAGGGGGGGAAAGTTAGTCTTTTTTCCCCTTAGAATTGGCCTGATAAGTCGCAATTGTGAGTTTATATCTCACAATTCTGAGTAAAGTTGTCAGAATTTCGACTTATAAACTCGCAATTGTGTGTTGAAGTCAGAATTGCGAGATGTAAACTCGCAAAAGTGAGATAAAAAGTTGCACTTCTGTCTTTTTTTCTCAGAATTGCGACTTTATATCATGCATTTCTGACTTTATTTCGAATTTGTGAGAAATAAAGTCAGAATTGCGAGATATAAACTCGCAATTGTGAGAAAAAAAGTCAGAATTTTGAGATAAAAAGTCACAATTATTTATTTTATTTTTATATTCAGTGGTAGAAACAAGCTTCCATAAAAACAGCTCTTTTTGTTAAAAGGAGGGAGGATTAACTTTTTCATATGTGAAAGTTTTATTTTCCATACTGTATAAACAAAGAATTAACCAAAATAGATATTTATGTTTAAAAATTAACAGTGCCTTGCGTAAGTATTCATACCCCTTAATTGTTCACATTTTATGTTGCTGCCTTATGTTCAACTAGCCTACTTTAAATTACTTTTTTTTTTTTTTCACACATCAGTCAATCCATGGCATAATAATGGCAAAGCACAGATGTGTGACAACTTTGCAAATTTATTTAAAAGAAAGAACTGAAATAAGTACCTTGCACAAGTATGCAAACCCTTTAACTCTGTACTTAGTTGAAGAGCCTTTACAGCCTTAAGTCTTTTGGGGTATGACAAGATTTGCACATCTGCATTTGGCGATTTTCTGCCATTCTTCTCCTCAGAGCCTCTCAGGCTGTCAGGATTGATGGAGACCGTTGTGCACAGACATTTTCAGGTTTCTCCAGAGATGTTCTATTGGGATCTGGCTGGGTTTCTCATTTTGAGGGATCTGTACGTTACTCAAGTATCATTTTTTGGGAGCACTCAGGCCTGTACTCAAGTACATTTGAGAGGGAAATGTACTCTTTACTCCACTACATTTCTATCCATAACCGTGAGTAGTACACTTTACTACTTCTAAATTGAAAAAAAAAAAAAAAAAAAAAAAATCTCGGAAACCCTAAATTTGTTGTTTCCCTCTCAAACGGGATTGGATTGTGCAGACATTACTGATTGGGACAGTCTGTCAACAATCACCTTCTGCTTTCCGCCAAAGTCAACTCAATAGTCAGATTTAAATAAGAGACCAAACCATGGATGAAGACGCAGCAGGTCCATCCCAGGAATGTGCCGACCGTGGCCCCACCTCGCCAGACTATTTCAATTTTCTGAAATTTTCTTAAATGTTAAATAAAGCCACATGGTAAAAAGATGAAAATGACTTGATTTTACTTTCAATTCCTTTTACATTCTCCAAGGTATTAACATTAACATTTTTCATATCTGTGTCATGCCTTAGGCTACAATCAGAAGAACCCTTGTTGTTTCAAACTTCTTAGTGTCTTGACAAAATCCTGTCTCTGAGCTCTGCAGGCCGTTCTTTTGACCTCATGCCTTGGTGTTTGTTCTGATGCTAGACCTTTTATTAAGGGGTGCGAGCCTTTCCAAATCATACTCATTCAATTGAGTTTGCCACAGGTTAGCTCCACTCAAAGTGTAGTAGGCTAACATCTACACGTGAAACTGGGATGCTCCTGACCTGAGATAAATTTCAAGGTCCCAACCTTGAAACGAACGAATGGTATGAATACTAATGCAATTATTTCATTAATTTGTTTTAATACATTTGTGAAGTTGTCAAAAATCTGTTTTTTTTTTTGTTTTTTGTTTTTTTGTTTTTTTGCTATTTCATTATGGTTTATGGGGTGTAGACTAATGTGAAATTGTTTTAATTCAAAGTATTTTTACATAATAACAGCAACGTGTGTGTGCACACACACACACACACACACACACACACACACATTGACTCCATGTCGCTGTAGGCTCATGTCATGAGTGCCCGTGTGTTTATATCGCGATGGATCTCTCTTATCAAGCCATAAGGACTGCTAACCAGGCCAGAGAAGCGGTAAGTGCTCATGTTATTTTCTCTATTAAACTTTGATTTCACGAAGTATACCTTGTTGACCTACAGTAAATCTGCTGAAATATTGAATGAATGCGTATAAAGAAACGAGTATATAAACACAAATAATTGGCGGTACGAATTAAGTCTAATGTAATTTTAAATATATGCTTTAAGACCTCATTTGTTCAGCATTATTGATGGGCTAGATAGTTTAGTAACTTACTAAATAAGCGTGTTTACAGCTTTCAGTCTGTGGTACTTTACACAGCCATTGCGGGTCCTGTGTTGCTATAGCAACCTGTCAGGCTGCTCGTCGCACTTCTCTTAATGTGTGATCTGGCGCCATCTTCCGGATAAACACAGTCTATATAGTGTAGTTTGTGAAAATATTTAACTAATTATTAACTTAGTTATTTAACTAACTAAGTAATGTAATTTCTAAGCCATTTTTAAAAAAATATACTTAAATTTCCTAATACCGTCTTAACTAAGCCAAGCAGTTTCTTAATATGATGTTATGATTTCATGGTCTTCTTTTAGGATGAGCTGAGAACTGAAACACGCAGGAGAAATTTGCTGGTTCTGATTTATCATCATTTACTGGAGGAGGGGTGAGATTTTCCTTCAAACACTTCTCAAATTAACATACAAGTTTCAAACGAGAGAAAGACACGTATTTGAATGAATTTCTTACACAGGTATATGGATTCAGCCAAAGCCTTAGAAAAAGAAAGCAGTTTTGGTTTATGCCACTTTGATGTGTGTGATAATGTTGACCTGGACACGGTTCTCATGGAATATGAGAGTTATTATTTTATAAAGTTTCAGAAATATCCCAAACTAACCAAGAAACTGCCAGAACAAGGTGAGAGTTTATTCTTCGTAGTTATTTTACTCTTAATAATTCACCAATATGTTTTAAAATGTTCTATGGTTTTATACCAATAATGACAGTTATTATTCAGTGTTACTTCTTTCTTTATAGGAGAGAGTCGGCTTGTCAAGAGTGGCGGTAAAAGAAGGTATGTACAGTATTTTTAGCACAAAAATATTCAAAGACTTTCTGTTTATTGGCCTTGTGTTCATGTAAAAAGAACATCATCATCCAGTCAGACACTCCCAAGAATCAACTCTGTCCAGCGACCGCCGTCCAGAAACACTGTTAAAAGGTCTGAATCTAAACTAACAGGAAAAGACGTCGGTAAATCCAGGGTGAGTCTCCAAACATCATCTATGAAAGCTTGTTTCTGCCTTGGAATAAAAAAGGTAATTTTGAGTGAATATCTTATTTTGACTTTGCTCACAATTCTGACGTTTTTTCTCAGATTTTTGACATTTAAACTAGGAATTGTTAGGGGGGAAAAACTTGAATTGCTAGACTGTACACTACCAGTCAAAAGTTTTGGATCAGTAAGATTTTTTAATGTTTTTAAAAGAAGTCTCTCTGGCTCACTAAGGCTGCATTTATTTTTATTATGGTAAACATACCACACACACACACACGCTCAAAACACCAAAAAACAGTAATATTGTTAATAATAACATAATATATCACAATAACACAATTATAACACAATTAACACAATGTAATAATAACATAATATAACACAATAACACAATTCTGATTTTTTTCAAGTTCAAATATCAAATGAAAAAAACTCAGTTGCAAGTTATAAACTGATAATTGCGAAAAAAATAAAGTCAGAATTGTTAGATACAGTATTAACTTGCAATTATGAGTTATAAAATCTGAATTGTGAGATAAATTGTGAGAAAAAGTCAGAATTGTCAGAATTAATATCTCGCAATTCTGGCCTTTTTTTCTCAGAACTGACATTCAAAGTCAGAATTGTGAGAACATTTTTGAACATTAGAATATATAAAATGTAATATATATATTTAATATATAAAATTTCTCTATAAATCTGATGCATAATAATTATGTATGAAGAACATATTCTATCCTAAAGTGTAAATGTAAATTTTGTAATTAACCTATGTAGCCTAAATGTTAAATATAGCTTTGCTCGATCTGTCCAGGAAGGTAACAGCCTGACACCTGTGGATACATCAGGATTTGGTCTAAATGTGTCTCCTATCATCAGGAATGGAGCTGAAGAGGGAACACACATGAGAAAGGTCATTCTCTTCTTTAAAAAAAAGTTTAGAGAACCCGTGAAATGTTTAATCAAACATTTGTCAGAAAAATTAAAATTGTGCCATAATTTTCTCCCCCTCATATCAGGGTCATCCGGTTGATTACAGGAATCTGATTCAAGATGCAGTTAAAGGTGCTGCTAATGACACAGATTTCTCGGTAGGTCCGCTGTAATTTTCATTTAGTTAAAGGAATCTTCCTAATATTGCTAAAGGAATATATGTTA